TTGGCCGACATTTTCACGAAACCCCTTAGTAGGGAGAGTTTCTTTCACATTCGGAATGAACTTGGCATTTTGGATATCTCTATGAACTAATTTATTCTTTTTATTGATGGTACTAATTTGAGCGTCGGAGGCGCAATAATTCTTTTTGCAGGGCTTTTATTGTAGGTATCTCTTCCCTTGGTATTCAACCTAATTGGACATGATATTTTTTTCTCTCAAACAAATGTTAATCGATTATTCCTCAAAGAAAAATCGATTAGTCGCCTCTGTCTTTCTTAATCGATTAATCGTTTCTGTTTAATCGATTAATTTGCAAAACGTCTTTAGCGCTGATTCACCTTTTAATCGATTAATCTTGTTCAATTAATCGATTAGACTCATCTGTTCAACTTAATCGATTAACCCTCTATAATTAATCGATTAATATCTTGAACGAGACGTTTTGGCTCTGCTTCTTCTAATCGATTAATAAGCTTCGTTTAATCGATTTTGCCTCGGCTGTGTTCCTTAATCGATTAAATACTACATTTTAATCGATTAATATTCGATTTTCGCCCTATATCCAGCGCAGGCTTCGTCTTCTTCGCCATTCTCTTTTCAGAAATCAGAAACCCTAACTCTTTCTCCTCTTCAATCCCTCTGAATTTTCTTCCTTTTTCTCACAAGTCTTCTCACCAAATCTCATCAATTTCAAGAGGAAGGATGCCAAGGTGCAAGAACGCTTCCTCGGGTCAAGAAACCGCAGCAGAGGAGAATGAGAGGCCATGGCGTCGTGAAGGGAGCAAGTACATTCACATTCAAACGGGTCTCGCCTTCAACACTGGAGCTTCAGTCGAGAGGTTCCAAAACATCTTCCTCACGAAGGAGATCGTCGCTCCCAAGATCATGAACAAGGACCTCTTCAAATCGGCGACCTATGCCCCGAGTAAGTCTATGTTCTTTCAACAAGGATTGCTTCGGTTCATTCATTTGACGTATGAATTTTTCTGTCCAAATCTTATACGTCAATTTTATGCAAATCTTCGTACCACTAAGGGAGGTTCGCCATCTCTCATTTCCTACGTTGACGGCAAAACCGTTTTCATTGACGGTGCCGGTTTGACTTCGTTGTTTGGTCTTCGTCGCGGTGAAATTACCGAAAACTTGGATGAAACATTCCAAGATGAGGCAATTTGGCGACAACTCGGGTTGGATCATCGTGACCTCAAGTTTAGAAACTCTAGCAACCCGAGTGTCGTTAATCTCACTTTAATTCAACGCG